GGGGGGGGGGGGGGGGGGGGGGGGGGGCCGGGCGGCCTCCGCTCCTTTCCTCCTCCGCCCTTCCCTTGGGCTGGTCTCTCCTTCTCTTTGGCTCTCCCTGTCGGTCCCGCCTGCGGTCCCTTGCTGCACCTTCCTTTCCGGCCACCGGGCGTGGGGATGCCTGCCTCTGCCGGGCGGGGACAAGGCGGCTGGGCGTGCCCTTGTCGACCGCTTGCTAACCCCCACATGTTACCTGCCCTTTGCCTTGCCTTGCGCGTGTGCGCGTGTCTGTGTGCGCGCGCCCGGGCGCATGGCAGTCTCCCGGCGCCGGTTGGTCATCGGCCTGACGGTGGGCCTCTCGGTGCTGCTGCTGCTGGTGACGGCCATCGCTGTGGTGGGGTTCTGCTGCTACATGCGCCGGCCCAAGATCCCGGGCGATGACATCGCCCTGCGGGAGCTCGTACGTGTCGCCCCCCTGCGGGTGTCTCCTCCTGTCTCTTGCGCCGACGGCGCGCACATGCGCCCTTTCGGCAGGCCCTCCGGTCCCCTGACATGACGCGCGGCCCCCCTCCTGCTGCAGGACGAGAACGACACGGTCCTCAACACAATCATCGGTGCGCACGTGCCGCCCCGGGCTGGGGCCGGTGTCCGGCCGCTGCCTGTCCCCGCTGCCCCCGCTGCCCCCGCTGACCTGGTACTCCGCTCCCCGCTTGCCTGGCGCCGGGCACGCACGCTCAGACATCTTCCTGCCGGGATTCCTGCTGCTGGACCTGGAGAAGGATGTGCAGATTATCCACACCGCGGAGCCGGTCGGCCGCGGCACACAGGCGGTCGTCCTGCGAGCCACTCCCTTCTCGGCGTCGCTGATTTCCCGCGCCGGCACGAGCCCCGTGGCCGTGAAGCAGTTCTCCAGTGCGTGGGGCTGTTTGGGGACCCCCCCCCCCCCCCCGGGGCTTTCTTTGTGTGCCGGCGTCAGGCCCCGGCTGCCGGCCTGCTGTGCTCCTTTTGCTGCCTGCGATGCTTGACTGACTCGCGCCTCTCCCGCGCTGGCGCCCCTGCTCGCAGACGAGAAGGGCCGCGTGTCACCCTCGCGCATGAGGTCCATGATCGAGAACGAGGTGGCCATCATCTGGTATGTAGGGGGCCATTGCCCGGTCTTGCCGCGTGCCTCTCCCCTGCCCCGCCCCCTCCGCCTGACACACATGCTTGCAGGGCGCTCAATGGATGCCAGAATGTCGTGCAGCTGCACGGCTACTCGCTGTCCCCCCCGGCGATGGTGCTGAAGCTGTACTCCACCAGTCTCGATCGGATCCTGCACCTCCGGCCCGAGGAGCCCTCCCTGAACCAGACCCTGCAGCTGGCCCGGGGCATGGGTGCGTTTTTGGGCACTCGCCATCCACTTTCCCTGGGCCCCCGGTTCCGGTCCCTCCTCGGCCTACCGGGCGGGCCCCGGGGGAGGCCCGACGGGAGAGGCAGCCACCGGATGAGCGAGCCACAGGACGCTCTTCGCCCTCTTTTCATGCGCTGACCCCCGAGTGCTTTTTTTTTGCCCCGGCCACCGTGCGCACAGCCGCCGGGCTGGACTTCGTCCACTCGTCCGGCTTCGCACACCTGGACATCAAGCCGGGGAACTTCTTCCTGGAGGTGGACCCGGAAACCGGGCTCTTCCGGCCGGTTCTCGGCGACTTTGGCCTGGCGCGCAACATCAACCGCAGCTCGGCCCTGGTGAACTCGCTTCTGACGCGCGGCTGCAGCGTGGCATATGCCGCGCCGGAGGTACGCCCCATGGGCGGTGTTTGTGTGCTGCCTCTCCTTTGGACCCGCGGCTCCCGGCCCCGGTCCCTGTCGCCCCCGGGGGGGTGCCCTGGTACTGACACCGGCGTGCTCTTCACTTCCCTTCCCCCCCCCCCCCCCCCCCCCCCCCCCCGCCCCCCCCCCCATACTGTCGCCCGGTGTCCCGGCTGCTGTTGCCGCCACCGCGGCAGATCCTCCGGTCATCCGGGCGGGCCGGCGACCCGACGCCGAACCTGTTCGCGTGCGATGTCTACTCCATGTCCATTGTTCTGTGGGAGATGCTGGCCACCAGCAAGCCCTGGGGCGGTGCGTGTCTCGTCCTTGCCCTCGTCCTGCGCCCGCGACTTCTTGCTTCGGCCCGGCGCACGCCGCTCGGGCGCCCGGGCTCCGTGGCCCGCGCTCCCCGGGGGGCGTGCCCTCCGCCGCTCCTCCCTTTTTTCCCCCCCTCCTCACACCCACGCGCGCACGATCTCTTCCGCCACCCCGCCCGCACGGACAGGCCAACAGCAGCAGGAGGTCATCGGCCTCGTGTGCGGCGGCATCCGGCCGGGCATCACCGAAGGCGACTTGCGGCTGGATCTCGGCCTGCAGACGGTCCGGTCGCTGGTGACCATTGTCGAGCACTGCTGGGACCCGGAGCCGGCCCGGCGGCCGTCGGTGGCGGCGCTGCTGCGCCTGCTGGAGCTGGCCGACGCGGTCGAGTGACCGCGCCCGCCGTCGACCGGGCCAGCCCCGGCCCTTGGCCCCCCCCCCCCTCCGCCTGCTTGCTCGCCCGCGAGCGCGAGGACATGTGCCCACACATGCAACCAATAGATTTCTGTCCTTTCTTCCCCCTCCCCTCCCCTGCGCCCCGCGGCCCTCCCTGCCGGGAGCTGGCATGACAGGGGGCAGAATCGACACCACGATCGCCACAGGCAGATGCATTGGGGATGGCTGCATGTGCGCATGCATCTCAGTCGTCCATGTCGCCGTCATCATCATCATCATCCATGCCCGAGTGGGGGTCGCCGCCGAAGTGGCGGCCGGAGTCATGGTGGTGGTGATCCTCGGCGTACGGGTAGTCCGGCAGGTCGAAGAGCCGCGCGTAGCGCGTCCGCCCGAAGCGCCGCCGGCTTGGCGCTGCCGGGGCCGAGGGGTGCTCCACCAGCGGGTCGGCCAGCGGGAAGTAGGTGTGCTCGCGCCGGCCGGTCGGCAAGAAGTCACTGAAGAGCGGCGTCCAGGACGTGGAGGTGGTCTCGTAGTAGGAGGGCGGCGCGAATTCCGGCACCGGCTGCTCGGTAACCAGGGCCGGGCTGACGACATTCCCGCGGCCGAAGAAGCTGGCCTCCTTGGAGGACTGGGCTCCGGGCTGGGGGGGCGGCTCGGCAGGTCGAGGCGGCAGCCGGACGGCCACCGGGGTCATTGCCCCGGGGCCCGAGGGGATGCCCAGCTGCCCCGGGTGCAGGTACACGGTCTGCTGGTCGTCGGCGTTGTGGGCCGGGGGCCGCAAGGTGTCCGAGAAAATGGCCCCCATGGCGGCGTCCCAATCCAGCGGCGAGTCGGTCAGCCGCCCGACGCACGTGTGCAGCTCCTGGAGTTTGTCCGGGCCCAGGGCCCCGGCCTTCCAGAAGGCGAAATCGCCATCGGACGACGTGCTGATGAGCTTGCCGGCGCGCAGCTGCTCGAAGAGGGCAAACCGCAGGGAAAGCTCAAACACACGATGCCGCAGCTCCGGCAGGTCGCTGGAAGGGCACCGGGAGGCGGGCGGCGGGCGAGCATGGCGGGTCGTGTCAGTGAGCAGGGCAGACCGGGCATTCAGGGGGCGGAGGGGGGGGGGCGCGCATCGGGCCTGGCGCGAGGCCAAGGGGGACAGCATGGCCGCGAGAGCTCACGCACTCGAACAGATACAGCCGCAGCGGGTCGCGCGCCCGCTCCGGGGTGAGGTTATTCTGCACCAGGACGGCCCGCAGCAGCGGGGCCAGGTGGTTCAGCTGGCAGACGATGCGCGTGTGGATGATGCTGGTTTGGCTGTATTCCCGCGAGTTGAAGAAGTCCACGCAGGCGTCTCGCGGCGGTGGGAAGCTGGCCACCGTGTCGACGAGCCGTCGGAAGTCTGAGCAGCGGGTGTCGGGGCGGCGCGAGGAGAGGGCCGTGAGACGAGGCGGCGTGCGCGGCGTGTGATGGGACGGCGTGTGCGGCGTGTGATGGGACGGCGTGTGCGGCGTGTGATGGGACGGCGTGCGTGGCGTGCGACGAGACGGCGTGCGACGACGCAGCGTGCGACGAGGCGGCGTGCGACGAGGCGGCGTGCGACGAGGCGGCGTGCGACGAGGCGGCGTGCGATGAGGCGGCGTGCGATGAGGCGGCATGCGACGAGGCGGCGTGCGATGACGCGGCATGCGATGAGGCGGCGTGCGACGAGGCGGCGTGCGACAGCGGTGGCAGCGGCACGGGCGTTAGAAACAAAGCCGCTGCGGAGGTGGGAGCAAAAGCAAGAAAAAACAAACAGAAGACATCGACGCGACGCCGGGGCTCCCCCCGCGCGGGGCGGAAGGCCACAGGCCGCCGTGCGCACCCTGCTTGCAAACCGTGACCAGGCCGAGGCACTGGCGGAGGAAGTCGAAATGCCGGGGCAGGTGCTCCAGGAGCCGGTGCTGCTCATCATGGCGGGGCACCTTCAGGCGCCCGGTGAAGGCCCGGGAAGTCGGCTCCGGCAGGGGCAGGTGGGCGACCGGCGGCCGGGCCTCCATCCGGGCCAGCTCCAGATCGATGACCTCCTGGCGGAAGGCCCGCTGAAGGGCCGGCTTCCGGCGCTTGGCCATCACACAGCAGGCCACCACAGTGCCCAGGGTCAGCAGGGCGCACAGCAGGCCCAGGCAGACGACCAGGGTCTTGGACCCGACCAGGCGAACGGCCGGGTCGGCGTGCGGCCCGGCCGACTGGAGAAACAGCTGGCAGCGTGGCAGCCTGTAGGTCAGCCCCGGGGTGAGCATGCGCTCCGGCGCCAGGCGCGGATGGTCGCCGGTCCAGGAGAGCTGAATGTGAAGGGAGGCCGAGAGCCGGCAGGGCAGCCCGGCCACGGCCCACGGGTCCACATGGGCCACGAAGGTGAAGTAATCCCCGGCGCCGGGCACATGGGTCAGGCTGTGCACCGTCGGGCTGGCGGCCAGCGGCAGCAGGAGCGCCGCATCCGGCCATGCCAGCCCCTGGCGCCAGTCCCGGTAGGCCTGGCGCCCGGGGATCAGGAAGAGATTCACCGGGCAGGCCGGGGCTTCGGAAGCCCGGCCGGAGGGAGGGCCGCGGCCCGGGGAGCTGCTGGCGCCCGGGGCACCGGCCCCATCGGCGCCGGCCCCCGATCCCGAGTCCGGGGCGAGCGCCATGACGACGGTCACATTGGCCCGGGCCGGGAGCCAGACACTCTCGGCGAAGTGCTCGTTGGACGCGAGCGCCGGCACGCGGAAGGCCGCATCGCCGGAGACGGTGCTGTTGGCCGGCGCGCCGAACTCCAGCCACCAGGCCCGGTGGACGCCGTCCACGATGATGCCCTTGTTGGCCTGGTCCGGCGAGCTGTATGGCAGGATGCCATGCTGCGGGATGGCCGGGGCGGCGGTCAGCGGCATGAGCGGGCGCCTCTGGTAGAGGAGCACCTGGCCGGCCAGGAGCCCGGCGAACAGGAGGGCCAGCAGCACCATGGGCCCGGTGTAGCGCAGGTGGTACCTGGCGGCCCGCGGCCGGGGGGCGGGCCGAAGCGGTGAGTCGGGTGCCGGGGGCCAGCTGGCAGGCGAGCAGGCCGCGCGGGCAGACGTACCGAATGACAAGGTCCCGGGGCGGGGTGACGACCACGGTCGCCCTCGGCGTGGCGGCCCCGGGAGGCAGGGCCCCATCGGAGGGGTCGGCCTGGGCCTTTTTCGCGCGGCGTCTTCGGGCCATGGCTGATCCGGGCGGCGGTGGCGGCGGCGGCGGCGGCGGCGGCGGCGGCGGA